TCATTCATGAAATGTCTATGAGAGGACCATGTTCATGAGCGTCGATACGACGTGAGGGTTTCTCATGGAATGTCCCAAATGAAAATATATTCACAAAAATTGTTTTCCATATTATCGGCTCTACGACTTCCTGTTGGAAAATAACCCTCAAGAATTATATAGAAATGGCCTCACTAGAGAGTTTAGCTATGCTCCGTCTTTGTGCCAAATAGGCTTATTTCCAGGAATGGATCAGATCGCGATCATTATTGTAGCAACAAGGGCTAAAAAAAAATATATGAATGAGAAGAAACATCACTGAATACCCCACAAATAAAAATGTTTTAGGAGGACATTGTCTAAACACGTTATTGATTTCTTGATTTTGTGGGATTGGGGTCCAAAGAGGATGAGATGAGAAGAAAAATGACCGACAGTGAGCGACTTGGCGAAAGGTGTCCGACGTTTCAGGGAAAGATTTATGAATTGACCTTTATGTAAGTCATGTGATGAAGTGAAATGCCTTGCTATTAAATGTAACCCGTTGTATTAATAATAGACCGTGAACCTGATTGAATATGCAGGGTGGTGCAAAAGTCACGCACCATAGGGGGATTTCAATGTTCCACGACATTAATTCCTGTTTCTTTGCAGGTGAGTGATGGCTGCAAAATAGACAAAAGAAGAGAGGGTGGAGTTAGATATGTTCAAACATCATGTGTTTAATGCGAATCGAAGTGTTTTCAAGTTAATGGCAAACGTTTTGAACATTTACTGTAATTTATTCTATGGTGTTCGGATTTTGCGCCACCCTGTACAATACTGTGAAAATGAATGTAATAGTGAAAAATGATTTTCGCAGTTCCCGATCAATTTCCCGCTGATCAATTTAATTTCCCCGAAGACAGTGACGTATTTTACGGGGGGCAGCCCTAGCGCTCCTGGGAGAAAGCCTGGCCCTCAATATCGCTCAGGTGGGGTTTGGTGTCCCCGCTCTGTAACCCCCCCCCCCCCGGCCCTTCGGTCAAAATAGGCCACAGCCCGATTGTCAATTTTCCGAATGGTTATTTCCCCGCCTGGACAGTTTCCCATTTAAAAAGTCCCCCGATCTGTAAGTTGAATGAATTTTGAATGAAATGATGTGTAAAAATTTTAATTCATGAATTTTGCGAATTCTACGAAGGTAATGTATTTGTTTCCGAAAAAAAAAGTTTCCAGCCCCCCACATGATACGTTGGAGAGTTAAGCGGGGAGGGGATGCAGCCCCAACCTCCCCAACCGAGCCGGAACTGACGATTGGGAGGTCTAGGCTGAACGGAAGGAAAACGGAAAATCAATAATATGCTCCTATCCTGGAGGGGTGGAAATAATTTAATTATTTGCCCCATACCTTGGGAAACAGTTCGCCTAAGGAACATGCCAACCGATACAGTGCAGCCAAATCGCTGATAAAGACTATCACGGAAAAATAAAAGAAATATGAAAAAAGTTAACAGAAATGATTACAGGATAATCCTCTCAAGCGCCAGAAATGAGACGATCGACAAGATGTCTATCAAGATCTAAAATGGGACTATATATGGAGAAGCTGGGTGGCTTAGTTAGGATCGTTAAGTGGTCAGTCCTTGGACGGAGTGAGAAATTGACTTCGTCGATTCATGGTTTTCGTGAAGAGCAAAAGGGGAAAGAATCCTCTTGTTCCAGAGGGCTGTTGCTCACAAAGGACAAAATGTGCCGCGACGGACAGAGACTGTATTGGGAGTATAACATGAGATTTTAGGATGCGCTGTCAGGAAAAACACTTGTATAGCAAGCCTCTTTCGACAATTAACTCAAAATGAAAATTTTATCAGGTGAGGTCGTTCTGTTGTTTGTCATTCTCATTTTTCGCCTCAGAGACAAGCAAGGAGCTAGACCATAAATCGATCCCTGGACTGGAAGGAGACTGGGTGCCTTATTATTTTCGGCTGTTATCCCCGAGACGGAAAAAGTGTCGTTTGAGCAGCGACACTAAGATTAGGACTTCACTGGTAGCTGAATTTTATTCATGTAAGAAACTTGCGGTCGATTGCCCTCCATCCGCGACCGTGAGGTTGTTTATATGTAACAGTGGGGAACTGACCATTCGGGGAATTAGCCATTTGGGAACTGTCCTATCAGGGAATAGACTGGACATCAGCTGCGCGGGCTTTCCCCCCCCCCCCCCCCCTCGCCCCCGTTGAGAAGTTACGGAAACTCTTTTTCCCTTAGCCCTCTTTGCCGAAACCCTTCCTGAGCGATTCTTCAATGTTCAAGGTTCGAGGTTAAAGGACGTTAACCTCTCTTAAAGTTGGGTTCTTTTTGTAGCATATCTAATCCTAGCCGCCTATTGCATAGTCCACCTAATTCTCATTCACTCATATTTATTGGTCCCTTTTTTCGTGTTCATGAAGGCATATAACCTACTCTTGTCGCAAAATCACGGCGCGGGGCAGCCGTCACTTAACGCATTCTCCGGATTCACTACGCTACAAGTAAAGAAGTGCTGACGCAACGTGAGCCACACCTGTGATTTAAACAATTAAAGTTGATTTCCTCTTGCTATGCCCCTGCCATCGAACAGGAAAACCTTCCACTCTCAACGTCGTCTATTCCCTTAATGATGTTAAATGCCTGGATGAGGATCCAACTCGTTAAACCTTCTTTCGAGCGAGTAAAGACCCAACTCTTCTAAACGCTTTTCGAATGGAAGTCTCTTAAGCTCCCAGATGATTTCTTGGGCTCACCTCTGGACCCTCTCGAACGCTGTCAACTCACTGGCGGACGCCGCCCGCTTGCCCGACCTCCGTAGACACTTCTCCAATAACCATTACCAGTTGCTCTCTTCCCGACAATCAGTTACTGATCCACTCGCTCGTCCTACCCTGGATCCCGTACAACTCTAATATAAGCCGCTATCTCTTTTGGGGAACGGTATCGAAGGCTTTCGCGAAATCTAAGTAGACGATATCTTCAGGATTCCCCCTCCTCTCTCTGTTCCGTCATCCTATCGTAAAACTCGAGCATATCGCTTAGACAATTACATCGCCTCCTAAACCCATGCTGAGAGTCCCGAATGACCGTTTTACCTTCGAGGAAGTCTAAGATGTGATCTCTTAAGGTGCTCTTCGTGATTTTCACTGGAATACTCGTGAGGCTCACCAGCCTGTAATTTGTGATCACTCTTTTCACCCTTCTTAACAATCGGTAAAACGTTCGCTAGCTTCTTGTCCCGAGGCACTTCTCCACTCGAAAAGTTTCTTCAAAGTATAATTCTAAACAGTACCGATATTTCCCTCGTGAGTTCCTTGATGACGCCCGCCGGAATCCCATCGAGTCCGGTTGCCGCGCCTGCCGACAACTTCCCTGTCTTAGTCTTCTCTCTCTTCTCTCTCTTCTTAGTCTTCTCTTCAATCTCTTCCTTGATGATGAAAATGTCCGCGATGCTCGCAGAGGTGACCTCCTCCAATGCTGGTGCGTCGTCGGATTCGTTGTGAAGACGGAATCGAAGAACTCGTTATGTGACTTGGCCTTCTGAGCATGAAAGCTGTCGGCGGTGAAGAGAGACGTGTAGTTCCGAAAGAAGTTGAAAGTTCCGAAAGATACATCGTCATGTTTTGAAGCCTGTGGGTGGTCCGGAGCCAAGGAGAACCAGGCTCACTGGAACATCCAGCTAATACTTGCGTTCATGAGAAACTTACTGTGGACTACTGATGAGAAAAATGTTAGATCATTCTAATCGTCGATGTCTTTACTTGAGACTAAGTTGTGGCTTCTCCTCGGTTACTATGACCACCATTTTAATCATACTCGTATCCTATCACTCAATAGAAACTCCTGGGAGCGAAAATGTCTGAATGCCTTGCTCCCCTGGGTATGGAAAGGGTCGATGGGAAATTACTGCAAGTCTCCAAAGTGGAAGGTGTTCTCATTGGATTCCCTGTAAACGCGACCTTACCCCAAAAGCTTTAGCAGTATAAATATCCTTATGTTTATTTTTGCACTATATGCTCTCGATTCCATGCGGTTGAAGTCAACATCGCCCTACAGAGAACATAAATACTCGCTGATTCAAAAAAAAACACGGAAAAAAAACTTTTCTCTCACAAAAAAATTTATTCGCACGCAATATCTTCAAATTATTGGTGATGAAACTGCAAAAACCGCAAGAAGGCTGTATTCTTCCCTTACGAAAAGATCCTATAGGATCCTATAGGATGAGATTTTTTTATTTAAAAAATTGCATTTAATTCATGTAGTAATCCTAAAGGGTTCTTATAGCGTCCTATAGGAATCCTATGAGAATCTTGTGGGAATCCTGTAGGAATCCTATAAGATTATTATGTTTCAAAAATCGTATACGATCCTATTGCATTTTACGTAAGGGTTAACGGAATAATTAATTTTTGCATATTTTATACAAGTATTAGGTGATCTCATCACTTCAAGCATGATGGTGGTAGGACCATGGTCTGGTAGCAGTGGAAACGGTGGATATTTATTTGAGTTAGAGTGTTCTTGGAATACTACCTGGAGATTGATTTTCTCACTTTTATCAAAATTCTCTCCAAATGAAGGATTCGGAAAAGGTATAATCTAAAGGTGACCGTGCGGGTGTCTGCGATGGGTCCGATCATACCGAAATTCTTCCTTCAGCCTGAATTCCGATTTAATCCCTTCGTCCTCTGCAATATTTAATATATATGTACTATTTGTCTGAGTGATGAATGATGACAGCAGCCAGGCCCCTTTCGAAATCCTCCATCTGAACTGCGTCTTCGGTTACCATCGACTCCTCGATCTTCATCCTCTCTCATATTGCATCTAAAAATATATACCTATTACTAGTGCAAGATTTCTCAAGAGAGTGTGTGATCTAGATTGATAGATTAAGGAATCGAAGTATTTGATGACATGTATGTAATGCGCTAACAATTCGATTGCCATCTCCTGTGTGACTACCCCCATCTACATTGCCATTATGTGGCTAGGTTCTAGTCTACTTATCTAATCGTCGGAGATGAAAAGAGAATCCCGATAGTGACGAAAAAGTTGAGGGCCAAAAAGAGATAAAGAAAGATTCGATCCAGGATGTCAGCAACGGTTCTCCAATTCTCCAGTTCCACTAGACGATTATATCGGTGGGTCCAGAACTCCATTTCCCTTTCCCGATTCTGGTATTCCACGAGGGAGGAGATCCATCTCAGGTTAAACTCCATCTCTGCAAGAACAAATTCGCTAGCAAGTTGCATCATGCATTGATTGGAACCGTGGATGCAGAATTTTTATTCGAATGCAATAATTAGTTCGAGGCGTGACAAGGTAATAGGTCCAATTTTCATGAGCCACGTCGAATGCTTCTTGAATGAAATTGATGAGGCATATGCCTATCGTATGTTTTATGCTTCTATTAATACTTCTAAGAATCCTTTCAACCATACAGGGCTGAAATAAGAAAGAAAGAGAATCGTCTGAGTGACTCTAACAGGACGACTTTCCTTCGTCCATTTGCGCCAGAGTACGACCCAAAGCGAGCGGTACTAGAGGCGGGATAAACTAAATACGGGTTACTGAGGCTTTTGCACATCGAAATGAACAGGCCAGATATGCGTTTTCACTACCGAAAAAGTCCACATTGCATAGATGTCTATCGTACCTGTCATCTCTTCCTTCCTCGTGGGTTTGACTGGGCTCATCCAACAGGGTCTTCTACTCGAAGCCATCTTGTCTCCGTAGAGGAAGGGAGGTGGTATTCCGTCAGTGAATTCAATCTTCCCTTTCGCATTTTCACGCGGTCCCCCCTTCACCTATGAGTGGATCGTGAAACATCATCTGAAAGCGCGAACCATCCACTGGATCAGGTGAAGGAGGAGAGAAACGAACGGTGCGGAATCGTGGCTCCTTCATGCAGGATAGTTTGGCCAACAATCGACACATTTTCTGGACCCAAGGGGGTACACGGATGTCCTTCAAGTGATGGAGAAATAGGGTGAGGATGGCAAGGGCCACCTCCAGTAACACCAGGCAGATGCTCGCAAAGTAGAATTTCCCTGCAATTATCGTAACGGCGCCTTTGGCACCTTCAACTTGGCTAATTTTAAATCGCCATGTCATTCGAGGGCTCCAGCCCTCGATTGACATGGTGAGTACGGGGAGATCCTCAAGAACAGAGGATGCTCCGTTCTCAATTTGTTGTGCACAATTAGGGTGGGGACCTGAACTCTCAAAAATTTTCAGGCTACGTTTTTAAGCCTAAAAATTAGGGTAAGTATGGTTTTAATGTACAGGTTATACGGTCATGCACAGTGTCCCAACGAATCGTAACAGTTTGATTTTTTAATAACTTGTTTAAATCTTCATCGATTCTGATCATGTTTGTATCTTTTTGTAGAGCGTTTCAGGAGAAGTTTCTGATACCTATATCAACGCAAACGGTTGAGGATAAACGAAGTTACGGCAATCCTCGCAGGCACCACTTTTTCGCGCCACCGCTCCCATTTTCCAGCTGCCTAATTGCGCATACCGTTCAACATCAGTAAATTGACGATTGCGGGGATTCTCAAATCACAATTTTCATCCATACAAAATGCAAACGGCACAACAGCCCTTCGATGAAGACAAGCACAACCGCATTTCTTTCGCAAGGACGAGCTTGAGTGCATTGAAAGCGATCCAGAACACCTGTCAAACCTTTTCTTGTCAGACGAAGCGCATGTCATATGCATGGTGGCGTGAATCAACACAATTTTCGTTACTGATTGGATGATGACCTGGGATGGTACGCCGAAACTCCAATTCATTCTTCAAGAGTGACTGAATGGGCTGCCATTGGAGAAAAGGTATCATTGGGGCCATCTTCTTTGAAGGTAACGACACCGGAGAATCTTACCTGATTCTGTTAGTGAATGAGTTCTGGCCTGGCATTCAAGGCCTTGCCAATCTGGAAGATGTGCGGTTCATGCAAGATAGAGAGCCCCCACATTGGTCCCGTGACGTTCGTGCATAGCTCAATGAGAACTTATAAGACCGCTGGATGGGCAGTGGGTCACCAAACATGCGATGGCCACCACGATCACATGACTTGACTCCAATGGACTTCTTAAGGGGATACATTAAGAGTTTGGTGCACGCATCACCAATCCGTGACCTTGATGGTCTCCGTGCTTCCATCTGTCGTGCATTTGATGAAGTCACTGTTGAGATGCGCTACGAATCGCTTGCTTTCGTTCAGAATTTAAAAAGTTATTCAATAATCAAATCGTTACCACTCATTGGAACACCATGTTCATTAGTAGTTGCAGTCTCTTGATTTATTTCCTCGCTACATGCTCCAGCTTGCGTTTATAGTATGTCCTTATCTATACCCTACCCTCTGGTGCAGCTCCCACCCTGATGACCACGAGTTTCATTACGATTTCCATTGTATTTAGCTGAATCGCCAAAATTGACTACTGGATCGCGTACACCAAGAAGAAGACCCTACTGATGACCCCATCCTACCGATGAGAGGGATGCCTTTGGTGGGCGGGAGGATATCGCGGATGCTCATGAGGAAGATGATGGTGGTGAGCATCGTGGAGATCCCAAGCGTCACCTTTAGTAGTAGCAGTTTCTACCCTGACGACCACGAGTTTTGTTATTATATTGTAATGGCTTTTGGTCGGATTGCCTAAGTAAATTCTTGAAGATGGAGACTCAGCTGATGACTCCGTCTTACCGATGAGAGGGAGGTTTTCGGAGGGCGGGAGGACATCGCGGATGCTCATGAGGAAGAAGATGATGGTGAGCATGGTGGAGATCCCCAGCGTCACCTTCTCCCCGCTCTCACACGGTACCAGGAATGTTAGCAGGGCTAGTTAAATGAAAACCGAACACGCAATGTCGCTCCCCCTTCAATTCTCATTATTTTTAGATATGTGGAAAAAGTGGTGTCATACCAATAACGTTGATGTCAATCATGGGGAGAACATAGTTGATGACGAAAAAAGCAGCACGGCGCTTCATCCGAATGACATAGTCCACCGTAGAGAAACGGTTTGGACAACACGGATCCTCTTCCTCCCTCAGCTCGGCGTCATAAGATTCCAGCGAGAACTCCTCGTTTTCAATGTATGTCTTTAACTCGATCATTGTGTTGTGGTCCAGCTTCATCTGAACCTGAGACGTCCCGTTGTTTTTACCAAGCATCTCTCGTGCTGTGACTTTCGGTATTTTAAGAATGTGTACACAAGAAATTTGAAAATAAATATTACTGCATATTTCCGTTGGTGAGTTATTGACTTGTAGAGAATTTTTGTTTGATGATATGAGGCACCGGGTTAAAGTCTCAATGGGTTCATCCTGCAGGCCATAGTTCGGAGAATGCACTCTATTCCTTTTCAAAATTTGCAACGAGAGCTAAACTGTACAAAGTTTGGTCTGTCTATTCTAAGAACTCATATCCCTATGGAAAATGATTTGTCCTGTTATCTTAATCCATCGAGGTCACAAGGCCACTCAAAATTGCATCAATAGTTTAAAATAAGCATGAAATACACAATGGGCTATATAATTACGCCTGTCATACAACTGACTCGAGAGCAATCGAGGGAGCATGTCACAACATCAGCTTCAACTGCAGGCCTGCTCAATTGATACCATGCGGATATAAGAACCTGTGATGCAATATGTTGCCAACTTGTACATAACCGATTTAACTTATCTCTTAGACAAGAGATGTCTTTGAATCGACCTCATCTGTTTCATCCAGGGAACAGGAACACGTCTCTCCCGTCCCAGTATCTCGTTCGAGTACAATGGCGGCTCTCCACCCGTGTGCCGCGTCAAGTAGGGTCGCCGCGGAATGTTACAAGAGTGCCCTGGGTACGCAATGCCTATTTCTTGAGTCGAAAGAGGCCGAGAAAGCAAGGTCACAATGTTCCTTTGCTGCTGTAATCGAGGTGTACGATATGGAGTAGACAGCAACCTATATCAAACAAACAGCTCACCAAATATGCTCCTATGTGAAATTTTCAATTAAAATTGACTCGTGTTACGTATACCTTGTAAACAAGTTCATCATGGCAGTAATTGTCATGGAAGAATACAACAAATTAATGATGTAGCTGCAATGAACATCCTAATTGCTTTTGATGCGCATGTCTACGATCTCTCATTATGGGAAAATAAATAAAATAAAGTTCATGGCCACTCTAAGCATGTTACATGTATGCATGTTATGCGTATGGTAATTTAAAATATTGAACCATGCTTTTATTCTCCGGTCATCTAAAGAGAAATCACAGTCATCGAATCGAAGCTAAAACGGAAGGGTTTCAGCTCATTTTCTTGATTCGATTGTCTTGATAAGGACAGTTTGCAGTAGTAAAGTAGACAACAACCTTCCAATGATGAAATAAATGGTCCTAATTTCATATTTTCAGGCCAATATAATTCTGAACGAAAGTCTGTGGTTTGTGTCAAGGGTGCAACCAGTACATAACAGCCCGGAAGGAGTGCCGCTGCCAAAAAATGTTGAAAGAAACCTAGAACCGAAGGAGTACAAAATAGGAGAGTTAAGAAGGTGGAGAGGGAGTGAGCAAGTTACTCTGGTCTTGTCTTGGGTCCATGACATGAAGCGCATCGTGCAATTCTGGATGTCGAACGGGAAGTAAGAGACGTCCACGTCGCAAATAGAGCGGAAGATGGCAGCCGTGAGCAGGGTCACCTCGCCCGTCGCGTTCACGATTGCGTTCGTCATCAGCAGCCGATTGGTGTAGTCCATCGCCGCGCTGCAACACGGAATGAGTCCCAATGTCGCATGCGACATAGCGCATGACGTCCATGCAACGTTACCCAAGCATGATTTTTGCGACCACCGTGATTTCGTCGTGATGCTATATCGTATGCCTGGAAAATGGAATCCCGGCTTCATGGCGGTGTCAATACCCCCTCATTATTACCTCATTTATTTTCTCCAAATTCCTAGGTAGTGATACGGCTCCGAGAAAACATAGGAAGTCTCCCTGAGCGAAAAACCCAAGTAAGGGAGCTTTCCTCTCGTCGTCCTGTAAATCCTCTTATTGTCCCTCCATTTCCCTCCTCAAAGGGCGATTACAAAGTAGATGCAGGTGCATTGCTTAGGTGCAGGTTTACTTGAGTTGCATATGATGATTCGTATTCTCTGCGGCGTCAATGCAATAGAATGTTGGGTAAATCCGAATGTTCGCTTTTCTTCCCCCCCCCCCCCCCCCCCCCCCTCTACCTCCCTCCAATGTCTGTCCGGATTCATACCAAAGCGCCAACGTTCAAGAAGCCTGCTCTCACGGACTAGTGAGAGCATTAATTTCGCGGATCCCGTCTCTTTTCGAAAGAATATTAATTTCACATTTCCATGCGAATCCCTTCGAACCGGACAGATCTGATGCAACGCCAGGCCCACGCCTCTCGAGCAGTTCCTTACATTGATCGAGATCAAATTGAAGATATTGTTTTCCTCTGAAAGCTGTTCGAGTCAGGGTAACTCTCACAATAGGTTTCCGCACTAGTTGATGAAGCCTGTGCAGTGGCAGAAGTGACTGCGTCTCATGCTCATTGCAAATAGGTCTTTTCGCGCTGTTCGGATTTACCAGCGGCTTGATATTACCCTACTCTTGCTCAATTGTTCGACTTCGAATGTAGGACACTCAGTCGTGATGTTCCAGGCGGAAGAAAAAAGTGATTCCATCACATGGAGTGAGATTTCCAAGGATATACAAAATTTGGAAATCGGAGACTTGGACATCGCTTGGAAAACTTGGGTTTCGTGAAGGAGTCGCACGTTGATCATGGCCCTGCTAACCTATTTCACTACAACTAGGCTCCTCCTAACACATTCGATTCTCACCTTAACCCTTTTTTTGGAAAAGTATGAGGGGATACAATTCGGACGCGTCCCCCCCCCCCCCGCCACCGAACACCCTATGCTCTAGGTTTATCATATCGAAATCGAACTGCATACCTCCAGTCATGCAAACCGCATGACTGGACCCATCAACCGTAAGAATCTCGAGGTGCCGATATATCAGCTCTTCTAAATGGCTTTAAATTTTGCTTGCGAGTGAAAGGTTGAGAAAAGTGGAAATCTTAACATTTAGACGTAGATCAGAAGTAATAGAATTTTCATCCTTATCTCTACAAATGGAATGTAATGCCTCGCCTCCCTTCACCCTTATTTTTTCAAGAACATCTTTCCATCCTATCATGGCGACAGCTTTGCACCAATGACGATGATCCAAAGGACAGATTTCGTCGTTACCATGGGCAGTTTTAACTGCTGCAGATCCATCTCGTAGTACGAGATCTCGTATCTTCGACATCGATCGACGCTAAGAACGTTGTTATAGGATTTTCAACATTTTCCTTTTGGGATTGATCGTGACATTAATAACACTTGTTCCTAATGTCAGGTTCAATTTGGGAAGATACAATCTCGGAAGTTACCTTATTATCCACAATTTAATGGGCCCAAGAACCATTAAACTTGGAGCTGTCAAGTTTACTTTATCTCATTTTGATATTTGACAAAATCCTGCAAGAGGTGCAGCAGGGTTCATACCGCCTTACCTATTGTAGAGGATGATGTCCGGAGTCCAGATTGAGTCATAGGGTATCATGGTCTGCTGAATTCCACCGTAATCACTTGCGTTCCATTTCAATCGGATATCGTTCCACCGTTGAACGACCTCCACGTTGGTAACGAGGGCCTGGTTCCTATCGTCCTATCGGACATCACCGCTCGTATCTTAGGTATACTCGTGATGGTAACCTAAATGACGGGATACACGGAACCGAAACTGACCAATTCGATGATTCGAAAGAGAATGAGCCGAAAGGAGACCACGATTGCCGTATTGGGTGTCTCGACGGGGAGAACCTTAGTGTAATTTGAAAGGAGGTCCTTCATAAGCTGCCTTTCCACATTGCTTCCCTCCAGAAGCCTTCCATCCCAAAGGAGGAAGAAGGGGAAATAGAAACCATGCCGCATGTCGACCGGATGAATCCTACCTTCTTACTGACGGAAGAATCAATGGTGGAGAATGTATGCCCCTTTCGTGACACCTTAGCTCGATATATTCGCTCTTTCCAAAAGAGGTTAGAATGAAGAATATGACCTGTCTTTCCATTATCATGATCGTGTGCCTCACGCACGCTGGTGTTGATAGCGATTGTCACGGATGACGAAGTCAACTCGAATCAACAAAGGGAAGGGAGAGGGCTTTCGTGCGATCCCAACAATCAAGAAGACAATGGCGCTCATTCGTCCAATTACGAACGCTGGTGTCATTATTCATAACTACGGGCGACAAAAGCTGCAGAAAGAAAGTGGAGAGGCAAAAGACAATGATAATTACGATGATTATTCCTAAAATTGCGCCCATGACCAATGCACGTGTTGACGGACACGACGACAGGCAACAAAAATCGACCAGCAGAAACAAAGGACGGAGTGGCAGGTCCTACAGATGGACTAGCTTGGACTCGGACCGAGCCATCTCCACGAACACATCTTTCCTCTGGCGGCATCATCATCGCTGAGAAAACGCGTGTTGGGCTTCCTTCCTGTCTCCATGCTCTTCCATGAAAATCGGGAGGAAATCTTTTGCTTCGATTTCGTGACAAAAACTTATTTCTGACATTTCTACGAAAAGATCACGCTTATGAGCATCGATACGGCGTCAGGGTTTCTTGCTTAATGTCCCGAATGAAGTGTTTTCCTCAAATTTTCTTTTTCCTTTTCATGGCCTTCTTTACTTGGTAGCTCTCAGCTCTTGGGTTTGGGTTGGTGATGCTCACAAATATTCCGAGGGATGTATTGCACCCAGTGGCGCGACGAGGGGTGAGCTGTGAATATGGAAATTCCAATTCCCTTCTGATAATTGGCTTTTCAAATTCAAGCGCTGAAATGATTTGTTTCTTTCTGATTTGAAAAAAAAAATGAAGCAACGTAGAAATACCTCGCATGTTCGATAATGAAAAATGAGGAAGTGAGCTCCGCGTTAGAACGGGTTTCCTCACGAGGAATTCCAGATGAAAAGGGGAAACGGCGCCGCAATTCCGAATCCTTGGGGATTCTCGTCCCTCGACATCCACGGCCATCTCGTCTGGCCATTGCGCGAACTGGACTCGGTGGGATTTCTCTGCGGGGTCCGTTTCTTGCGACTGACCGCGAGGCAAGAAGAGACGACCTTCAACTCAAATATTTAAAAAATTAATTAATAAAAATGCGACGGTGTCGTTTCGCGAATTGCATACACTGCAATGGCAAAATAGTACCACCAACATTTCTCATAATTTCGGAAAATTCCACTGACGATATTACGCGGGCTGAGCAGCTGCACCGGTTTGCCGAGTACGAGGGATAATTAGGGGGTGGGATTCCAAAGCATTCGGCTGAGTACTTTCTGAATAATGCTTAAATCGGTGATGATATACGTATTTCGCATACACGGTGGAATTTGTATTACCGCTTTTAGGATCAGTTTTTTAGGGGCTATTTAAATACCGGCTTTAAATGCTCATTCTCGATCGATGCAAGCAGCGGCAATCCATTGATTGCATTTCCGGAAATAAAGCGAAATGTCGACGAAATGGCAACATGTTGGAGAAATGTTCATCGCGTTCTCATTAAGCCTTCGATTTTCGAGATGGAAATTTTCAGTCGCCAATTTGAAACACTTTCGGTTCACCACGGAGATAACAGGATAATCCGTGTGTTCGAACTCGTCCGATCGAGAAACTTCCGGCGATGACGTCATTTTTTCATCTCCAGATTTCCCAAACTGTTGCGGAAAAACGCACGCCGGACGTGTCGCCAAGAGATCCTGGGAAACCGAGGAAAATTCCTGGTGAAGAGGCACTTGGGATTCAAACGTGGTGCCTTTTGAAACGCGCAATCGGTTGCGGACGCGTGTTAGCCTGTAGATTATCTCAACTGAGATGGGGCCGGAAAATATACGTGAGGGGTGGAGATCGCTTTGAATGCGGTCGCCGTCTCCCGACGATGAGACGCAGTGTCCGGTTGACCATCGCGTTCATGCGGGGGATCGCTTTCTGGTTCAGTTCAGGTTGTTTCGTCCCAATGGAATCCGAAGTACCAAAGAGTCATCGGTAGGGCCGACTTCCCTTTCGACTGCAAGCACGGAATCATTCGAGTGAAGTTAATTTCCCTTTCTCTTGCTCGGCTGGCTATCGGACACGGTGAAGTTCTTCTCGACGATGCGAAAATCGATCGTCTGGTTTCTTCGGCAGTCGCAAGATCCCCCAGCTGTCTCTGATTTACGGCCGAGTTCGAGATGAAAGGATTCCGCAGCGCGGGGATCGCCGTCGCGCCTCTGGCCGAGAACGCGCCTTCCTCAGACGAGGAAATCCTTCCCTTCGTTCATATCAGCTAGATATCCAATTTGAACGATAAGTTTGCAACTCAGCGTCACACGCCGATGCCAGCGTTTTCGCAGCCATCGTCATTCAGAACCACCAGTCGAATCCTGGCGCTCAGCTTAAACGGATCCACGAAAGAGTATTTAATGTGGGCCTCCACGAATTTCCAGAAACTGGTAGAAAGTCTTAGACCGCCGTGATGCAGGCCCCAACCACCTAGAGTTCCTAGAGGATCAGACCGATCAGATGGTTTTCTGTCCGAAGCTCAGCGTGAATGCAGGAAATTCATGGAAATGCAGGCACTGAAGACAACCGATGCCAGTTGAGCGAACCAGAGGCGAGAAACGAGGAACGCGCTAAGAGGCAGGAACGCCGCGCGTGGTTTGAAGTTCGCGCAGGCTCGATTCTCACGTCCGCGCAGGATCGGGTCTCGGGTTATCTAGAAGCTCGACAGATGGCGAGGCGCATGCCAGTCTATCTCGTCTCGAGCCGATTGTTAACCCAATCCGGCTTCTATTGCAGAAGTGCAAGGAAGGAGTTAACTTTTGCGTCAGAGAATAGCATTTATCATTGACGTGTATTGAACGTTTAGTATTTTTCTTCTCTGTTACGAGATTGCAGCTGATTAACAACGCCAAGATATTGACGCCTGTCTAAAGAACTGTTATCCTTATATATACATTCCTGATACACTATATAAGTAGGTGGTCCGGAGCCCAGGAGAATCTAATACATGTCGATATTCTGTTGAATCATTGTATCGGCCAAAAGCGCAGCCGTGTCGGTCAGGGATAAGGCAAAATTCCTCTAAGGGTAAAAGCCTACTTCCCGAAGTCATATCGCGAATCGTGACGACGATACCGCGAGAAATTCGTATAGATGATTTCAGTCCCTACTGCAGAGAATGTGACGACGTTCCAAACTTGGGACAAAAGCTACTCGTTTGAGTGGTACTCCTCGGTCACTACTACCACCTTTTTGCAATTAACCACTTAATGTGGTTCCCACAAAATCTCCACTAATACTGAATCGTAATTCTAAGAGCTACCACTGGGTTTAAACAAGCCAGAGGTAACCACGCTTGTCCGTCTCAGCGCCGAAATCTCCTCAGACCCAAAACCGGATTCCTCATTCGAAATTGATTAAAACGAGATTGAGCGGAATACGATCACGTGCTCAGCCTTCTGAAGCGAGGAGACTGCATCCCGGATGAGACGGGGAGGCACCCGCAAAGCAAGCGAGCATCCATCCTCCCCCTTCGGCACCCAACTTTTTTTAATTTTCAACTTTGAAATTTGCATGCAACTTCATCAATTAACGTTTGGAAGCGAAATTACCACTACTAAATATTCTTTCCTATGAGAGCCACATCTGTGCCAAATTTCACTGCACAACTTCCCACAGTCCCCGAAAAGTTTTGCGCTAAACCCAAGCTAAACCCCTATCACTCGGACGATTTGAAAAAAAAAGAAGGAATTTGTCGGAAACAGGATGCCTCTGTGGCATTTTTGTCTTGTCTTATCGATTGATGACGGCAAATGTGAAGAAATAGTTCGGCGACCGATCTGGTTATCTTCCAGCTGATATCGCCCAGAAATTCCTCAACGTTGAAGTAAATCCCAGCGACACACCGACCGAGTGCTGACACACTGACAGCAGCTGATACCCGACGTCTTAGTAGGCAAGCTCGAAGAACGCGACACCATCCCGGTTACTTTAGTGCGTGTACATCAATGAAACTACATTAAGTGGTAAATAATATAATTTATCAAATATAAGGTGATGGTCTGATGTTTTATTTTTCCATGGCTTTGGAACAAACTAATGCAATTTTTGTACCGATTATTTTACTTTCCTGTTTTTTTTTTCTTCCACTCTTGGTGGTTCATCTGTTCTTTAGGAAATAAAGTGAAAAAAGCGCTGCTCGAACTGTTGCAGAACAATGAAAGTTCCTTTGAAAGGCAGCGGTTTTCATTAGAAGCTGCGAACGTGTAATCTGAATGTGCCCGAAGTTTCCCATTCGCGCAGATTTATTCTCAGTGGAAAGACTTAATTGATTTCGGGAGTTTTGGCTGATGGTAAATGGCTTCCTTACCATGTGCCGAGAAGAATTCAATATTTTAAAAAGACGTTCTTAGTGTTCAAGGCCTTCGGACTGATCGGACTCGAAAATGCGGAAGGCTAACAGCGCAAATAAAAAGATGGCAATATTTTTATCATTTCGCTCTTCGTTGTTTTTTTTGGCTCCGGAATCCACATTGCTTTTCGGTTAAGATTTGCAATGCCTCAATTTCTTTCTTCGCCACATCTTCATCTAATTTTGGTCCATCCATTTGGAAGACCTGGTGAAAACTGATTCCCAAATTCGAACTTCAGGTTTTCCATCGGTGGAAATGGCGCAGGAGTTCCTGTCATCGAGCGAGGCAGGAAATCTCTCGAGACCTGGTGGCATTGGGAGTCGGCTACGGTCACGTGTCGGCTCCGTTGAAGGCGGCTTGGGATTGGTTGACGAGTCTCTTCGCCGGTGAAAGGATCCCTCGGTGTTCCTTGATCCAGGGGACGGCCGAGATCGGGGAGAAGTTCTACCGGGAACGGCACTCCCGCCAC